AAAATATGTCAATAAATACATCAAAAAGTCAGGAAAAGGACCCAGTATAGTATATTGATAACAGTCACAAAAAGTCAAGCTATAGTATGTTGAAAAAAGTCACAAAATTCAAAGTAGGGAATATCGCAAAAAGTCATAGTATAATATGTTCAAAAAGATTGTTGTACAGGTTGTCAAAAAAGTCTTATATGTCATAAAAAGTAAGTGTATAGTGTTTTGAAGAAAGTATGTCGTAAAAGTCATAGTAAAGTATATTGAATAGTCATAAAAACTTCAAAAGTATAGTATGAAAAAGTAAACGATAAAAAAGCCATATAGTATGTGGAAAAAAAGTCCTCTCATGGTATGTTGAAAAAAACAATTAAAACGTTATAGCATAGAATGTCGAAAAAAGTAATGGCATACTATGTCAAAACTAGCCAAAGTTATTATTATGTCAAAAAAAGGGAAATTAAAGTAGGTCAAAAAATCGTATCGTATGTCAAAGAAAGTGATTTTAAAAAGTCAAAGTATAGTATGTAAATAAAAGTCATAGTCAAAAGTATGTTGAAAAAAGTCATAAAAAAGTAATTGTATGAGGGAAAGGTCTGGAAAAAGTTATAGTACAGTATGTTGAAAAAATACATAAAAAGTCATACTAAAATATGTACAGTATGTTGAAAAAGTCATAAAAAAGTCATAGTGTAGTGTGTGAACAAAATAATAATCAATAAGTCATAGTATAGTATGATGAGAAAAGTCATAGTAGAGTATGTCGAAAAAAGTCATAAAAAGTAACATTATACTATGTCGAAAAAGGTCAATAAAATGTTATAGTCGATGAAGTCAGAAAAATAGCATGTCAAAAAAGTGATAAAAAGTGAAAGTTGACATATAGTATAGTGTGTTGAAAATAGTTATGCAAAAGTCATAGTCATGAAAAGTCATAATATATTATGTTGAAGAAAAGTCATTGTATAGGATGTAGAAAGTATTTTTTTTTGAGTGATACAAACAACAATTTGCGCGGCCTAACACACATGCTGGTGCCATTAATTTGCACTCAGTCATCATAACTTTGAGTTCCACTGTTGCAGTAGTTGTTATAAAAGTTGTTTCTGAACTAGCTATAGTTGTAGTAGAAGTAGTAGGCACACACGTATGTGAAAAGGATGTACATTCTGATGTTGTCCTCTTCTTCTCTCCAGGTGCAGATTTCTACGACCAAAACTGAGGATGACAGAATCATCCATGTGAATTATTTCAGCCCTTGGATTGGTTGTTTCTTGCAGCAATGCTCTCTGGGACTTGTAGTTGACACTTCCATTTATTTATTTAACATTTTAAAGCAAAAATGTTTGATCTTTTGGACTGCGGAATTAATTCTGGGAGTATTTTTTGTTCATCCAAGTGTTGAAATTCATCTGAAGTCACCTGATGTTAGAATCAATAAACAAAACGTTTTCATTTGAATTCAAGTAAACTAAAACGAGTTTGTTGAGTGCACATGTTTTTATATCTGTTGTGTGCAGAAGAATCTTTCATGTTGAAATGTTGTGCAGATGTGTAGATTTTCCAGAGCTTTTGTGTGTTTGAGTTTGGTGGAAGTGGTATGACCAAGTAGCTCAGGTATTGAAGGAAGGTTGAGTTCAGTCCTTGTGTAGTGCAGTGATTTTTAAGGCGTAATACTCTAAATAAAGGAGTCAAATACAAAAAGAGAATAGTTTTAAGAGGGAGTATGGTAGGGCCAGGTTTCAGTCCTTACCCGCTGTGAGGACACCAGTGTCCAGACAACCACTTTTTATGTGGCAGAAGGACACCTTATGACCCCTCTGAGTACATTCATACACTAGAAGGTGAAGACGTGGATGAAGTGAGTGAAGAAACCCGGTCATCCTCACTTTTGGTCCGAAAACTCTTTAATCGACCGGGGAGAAAAGAAGAGAAGAACGACGTAAGAATTTGCGTCACAATCACATAAATATGTGACTAAAACTACTACTACTACAACAACTACAACAAAAACAACAACTATTACTTCTATAACAATACCAAATACATACTATACTATGACTTTTTTCAATGACTTTTTTATGAAATACTATACGATGACATTTTCGATGACATTCTTATAATATACTACAGGTTGACATTTTCTAGAACCTTTTTCATGACATACTATACTAACATTTATATGACTCTGACTATTTTATGACATTTTCAATTTCACTTTCAGGGCATTCTCTTGTATGACTTTTTGTACTATCACATTTACCTTGACTTTTTTTTGTCACAGTATAACTATGACTTTTAATGACGTACTATTCTCTGAAGTTTGCCATGATATTTATATGGCATATTATACTGTGATATAATGGATGACATTTTCTGACATCCCATAGTATTTCTCATTGCATGATATAAGTTGTTATTTTTAAGACATCTTAACCATATATACTAAGACATTTTTATCACTTTTTTATGACATACTATACTATGACATTTTCAATGACATTTTTTAAAGCATAGTATAGCATGACATGTTTTATGACTTTAATGAGAATTTCACACAAATTTCAAACAGAAGAAAAATGATGAAGTGATGACATTTTGGACAGACATGGATGTAAACTGCAACATGACTGGTTGACGGAGACAAACAACCACGAGGCGGCAATTCTAGTTTTATTTATCAATCTATTTAACTGTATGCCCCACTATGATATTTTAACAACATTGTATTGCTTACTATACAATTACTTTTTATTGCTTTCGTTACGTTATACTATGAACTTTTTAATTACATTTATTAAGGCACACTATACTATGATATGTCTATGACGTTTTCTATGGCGTACTATATGTACACTTTTTATGATATTTTTATGACAAAATATATTATGATGTTTTTTATGACGTAATTACATTTTTCTATGGTATATACTTTCCTATGTCCTACCATATTATGATATTTTTATTACTCTAATATGGCATACTAAGACTTTTTTATGACGTGACTTCTATTAATAGCTCTGGCCTTTATTTGCCTCAATCACTGGCATAAATTTGGCTCAGGCGTCTATATGGGACAGGCCTTTAATCCCTTTCACACAAAACTCATGCTCAGCAAAGATGGAAAATATTATCAAATTGTTTAAAACCAGTATGAATATTACTTGTATAAAAATGTGGTTATCTATAGACATATCAACTAAGAACCATTCATCTAGTTCAGAGACTGTTGACTACACCTGATTACGGCACCTCGCATAACGACACAACACCTCTCTTTATCCTCTTAATAAGCCGACCGCCCCTCAGCAGTGGCAGGCCAAAAAGGAGAAGAGGTGAAAACCAAACAGAGAAAGGTTTTGACACTTTCATTTCTAGCCAGCAATGTAATGAAAATAAGCCCAAGAACACGTGTAGGAAGAAGGGAAAATATGATATACTGTATGTATATTAATTCATATCAGTTAAAGTGCAGTGTTCGTTTGACAAAATAAATTAAGTGACAGTGTGAAATGGACGTCATATTAATTCATTACTTTCATATATATTATCGGTAGACCCTAAGGACTAAAGGAATATAAATAATCCAGGAGTGGAGACATATTCAGACTTTACACTTCAAAGGTAAGCAGTCAGAGTTTTCTTTCTCTCTTGTTGACCATTAGGGCTGTACCGAACAGTTCGAAGCTTCGATGCGTCATTCATAAAACTCACGTTCAAATTATTATTATGAATAACTTAGGTAAAGATTAGTCCATTAATCCAAACATTAGTTTGGACTAGTGACTTCGATCTAACCAAACATTAGTAACAACAACAGGGGGCAGCATCAACACATGTTTTAGACATCAAATTATATTCAGTCCAACTCACTCGTCCCTCCCCCGGCCAGTCCTCTGAGGCTATTTACTGGATAATTAAAGAACACAAACAAGGCACTGGTGCCATAGACAATCATATCAGCACAACAATGCAAACAGTTTTTGTTTTTACAACCATACTTTCCAATGTCCTTGCTGTAAAGGCTATGACAGTAATTTGTTTATTCCATTTGCATTTATGCTTTTACTGTATGAATAACTATCATTTAGTTTTCCATTAAGCTTCAGGTGAGCGTCAAACACAATTTCTGATCTTGTGTTATGACTACAAGTTTCAAAATTGAAACAACATGCACCTTCTAAAAAAAGGATCAAGTTGACAGTGTTTCCAAAAAACATTTTCTTAGATTCAACTGCTATATCAACTTGTTCCAGCACTTCAGTGGCACTAGATCACACCTCATGGACAGAATATTGATTGAGATGTTCAAACAACAAACATCATATCCAGAAATCATCTTGTATTACTGGTTTCACCAGTTTAAACCCTAGGTGTCTGAACATTTGTATGTAAATCAGGGAGACTTGGTTTGGTATGCATGAGCAATTCAAAGTGAAATTATGTAGGCTTGAAACGATGGACAAACAGGATTATACTGTCTCTGTTACTGCTCTTTTGGACAGAGCCAGGCTAGCTGTTTCCCCCTACAGCTAAGTTAACCGGCTGCTGGCTGTAGCCTCATATTTATCGATTTTTTAAAGTTTTGTTGGCAGCTATAATCCTGAGTCTAAGTGTTTTTTCCAGCTCGTCCTGTGACTCTAAAAAGGAAAAAAAGAAGTCTCCAGCCATGCCGTAGGCACTGTGAGGCTGTGCTTTAAAGTGAATGCTAACGTCAGCATGCTAACATCCAGGTGTCAAGCAGGTATAATGTTTATACCGTGGCATGGTTACCTTTTAACATGCATGCTTGGGAAACTTGTAAAATGGAAAGGGATACGTAATTCCAGTCCATAACCAAATGTGGCTGTCTGCCAGCTGTTTATTGAGAAAGCGGACACAATATGAGCTGTGAGAAGCAGACACGCTTCATTTGCAAGGTAAATCAGACAGGAAGAACATCAGTGGTATATCTTACAGTGACATGTAACGAGAATTAGGCAGATGTAAATCGCTGTGGAGAGGGAACACAGCAGAACTCGCTCACCCAGTTAGGTGGCACCTAACAACATATATCTGGAGGTGAAGGTCAGATCTTAAACCCTGATAATATACTACACATGTTCCTTACTCCTCAGGATGTTACCCCTGGATGTGAAGCATTGCTGGATGTTTGTAGCAATTCTTTTCTTTGGGATATTGGTCAAGAACAGCATATGTGAATGCTCAGGTGAGTACATTTAACAAAAGACTAATACATAAACAAACTATAATTTAGCATCTGTCGTACAGATGAACATGCATATCATAATTTTTTTTACAGACGCTGATGATAACTGCAGACAACAAAAGAATTTACTGATTGTCAATGCCAAAAAGACATCGGGTACGATCCCATCAGGTAAGCTTAACAACACTGTCAACAGATAAAAGTCTTAAACTTTAAGTTTAAAAGAACATTCAGAGTAAACAGTGGTTTCACAACTTTTTTCAGAGTCTGTCTATTATAAGGTAAATGGAAGTACAATCTGTGTCCCGGAAATCTGGTGTGGGCCTACAGGTACAGTTGCCAAAATCATTAGCCTGAATTGAGTCAACTGAAAATAATGTTGCAATTGTTTCTCTTGGTCATTTGATGAATGTGTGTGTATTGTGGTTTGTATTTTTAGGATGTAGTGACAAAATAAACAGCTACAGATTTGACATGGAGGGTCGAGAAAATAACTACAACCTTACTATAAATGAAGAGACTCTTTCCCAGACAGATATTGTTCTCATGAATGTGCCAGATGATAATTTCGACTGTATGAAGTCAGAGCTCAACAACACAGTTCCAGGTAATGCTGACAACCTCCTTGCTATGTGAATTCTTATAAAAACAAACAACTAGGTTTGTGCACAGCTAGACTGACTTCAACCAGTCACCTCTCTACTTTACTCTTGTTATACATTGTACATCTAAGAGATACCGATGTATAAGTAACTGGATTTATTGGAAGTAAAGACTGCTCTCACAGACAGTGCCTTGATCACAGCGGACATATTTGCACACAAAAGCAGCGAGAGATTGCCCCCTATTGGTCAAAATGTTCTTGACTGAAACAAATCACACAGTGAAAGTTTTTCTCTCTTAACCAATCATCTTATACAACCTTCACTCTGTTGCAGGTTTCCTTTGGAAAATTCACAACTGCTCGAAAACGGGTAAAATCATAAATCTACCACAGCTCTTACTTTCATATCAGCACACATGTAACAGCAGTGTTAGCACTCCTAACAAGTTAATAATGTAATGTTTTGATTTGTTTAAGGTAACAAAAGTATTAGATTGAGCCAAAACGGCATCTGTCGAGAAGATTCGCCCTTTGGTGGAGACGCTTGCGGAAGTAATATTATTTGTTTGTTGGATTATATTATTCAAAACATATCTAAGTAAGCATTTTATTACTAAACCAAAAGAGTACGGAAGTGTGAATCAAATGTTTCTGTGTGTTTTGATTTTAGTTTTAGATGATCAAGCAGGATCCTACAAGTTCATCTATAATGATACAAGCTGGCAATGTCTGTCATGTTATCGACCAACGTCATCCCTAACAACGACATCCCCAACAACAACACCAGGAACAACGACACCCGTTGCTATTACTGTCACTCCCCCTGAGAACAATAATGGCTTCGGTATCAGCCCAGAAAATGCAGCGTGAGTATCTAAATTATTGGACAACTTGTCTTCTACATTTTGCTGTTGGTTAGGAGTTGTGATGATGACCAAAGTTTGCCATTAAGAAGACATTATTTGTGTGTTTTTCATTACAGAAGTATCATGAAAAATCTCTCTCACCTGCTGGAAGAGATGGGGAATTCCAGTACAGCAGCTGTCACAATAGGCCATATCAAAGGGGGGATCACCAAACTCCTCCCTAACGCATCAGACATCAACATTGGCATCACAGCAAATGGCAATGTGATTGTATGCAGATTGCCATGACACAAGAATAAAACAGAATATTTAATAGAGTTAATCATCCTAGTTTTTCTGATACTCTTCTTTGTTTTTTTTGTAGATTTGTGAGAACATTGATGATTCCGTGAACTTCTCTCGATTGGTGCAAATCCCTACTGAGGCCAGTGCTATGGCATTAAAAAGAAATAGCTCATTTGCTGGAGTTCTACTTTTTCCAGGGATGCATCAGGTAAAGCTTGTCAAAGTTGACTTAATTGCGCCTTATTTTCGTAAAAACGTAAATATAGATAGAATGATTACATCAACACCACAAACAATTACTTTCTGTGCCTGTCATGACTGTTTATACGATATTCCCAACAGGATGACCCCAACAGTTCTTTTCTCAACGATGAACTTCTGGGAATTGAAATGGGAACAGAAATATCGAATCTCTCACAAACCATAGACATTCATTACAGAAGTGTGGACAAGGTAAAAGAGATGCCCTATAAGATATATTGATAGGTTCATAATAACTGGTTATGGACAGAATGACTATGCTGATTTTTTTATTATTTTAACACAGAACGGAAGCATTGCTTCATGTCGGTCATGGGATGGAAAAGGTACTGTAAAAATACAAATGACAAGTTTCTGTCACACCTCCCTCAGTCATTGATGTAAAAAAAGACTGACTACAGCAGCGTCTTCTGCCTGTGTAGGGAAATCAATGACCTGGATCACAGATGGCTGTCAGACAAAGGAGACCAATAACAGCATCATATGCCAGTGCTCTCATCTCACATTTTTTGCAATACTCATGGTAAGATGATTGTATAACAAGTCATTCCAGTTCCATCATTTCACACAGAATCTAATCCGTCTTTCTCTCAATCAGTCACCTCCACCCGGAAACATAAGCGCTTCAGATTTCACATCTCTGACTTATATCACATCAATCGGCTGTGGCTTGTCGATATTTTTCTTGATGGTGGCTCTGTTCATGCATTTTCTTATCAGGTAAGGAACCACAGGGGAGGTTGTTTTTTTTGTTATCTAACTTACTATATAAAAGGCGTTTGCTGACAAAAAAAATGAACTCCCTCCACAGAAAAGGGAAAGCGAGCCAAGCAACTAAGATCCTGATGAACCTCTTTGTTGCCATGTTCACCCTCAACTTCTCCTTCCTGGTTAACGAGAGCATTGCCGAGCTGGGGAACTTTGGCGCGTGCGTGGCGGTGGCAGCAGTCATGCACTACACTATGTTGGCCACTTGTACCTGGTTTTTCATAGAGGCTCTACACTTGTACTTGAATCTATGGAAGACCCCCACTGACAAACATTACATGGCGAAGATTTGCACCACAGGATGGGGTAAGAGAACGGCGTGGTTGAGAAAAAACAATCATGTGTGCTTAAATTCATAAGGCATAAGCATAACAAAAATATGTACACTTTCTCTTTAGTCACACCAGCTGTAGTGGTGATCCCTCTACTTGCCTTGAGACAATATGATTACTTGGTCATTTACACCGATGATGGGAATACAGCAAAAATGTAAGCAACTGTTACTGACTACCAAGTGTATTTTTTTTTACACACAAAAAGAGATTCATGTCACTAAATGCATCATTATTCCTGATTTTCAGGTGCTGGATCTCTGACGCTGTTGTCCACCAGGGGGTGAACGTTGGTTACTATGCCGTGGTGTTCATCTTCACCTTTGTCATATTCATCATGACAGTGCGGCAGATTGTTCTCCTTAAGCCCACAGCAGGGAAATCTCAGCACAACAGCTCCACCAAGGCAAACTCTTTCTCCATTTTCGGCCTGTTCGTTCTGCTTGGCATCACCTGGGGTTTTGCTTTCTTCAGCCACGGACCTCTGCTCATAGCCTCCTACTATCTCTTCACCATCCTCAACTCCTTTCAAGGTAGACTCCAGACTGACACTGACACGTTACAACCACACTCATATGTCTACTTTACTTTTCATTAAGTACACGTTTCCAATGTTTGTAACCCATCTACCCTGTTTTTGCAGGTTTTTTCCTGTTCATCTACTACGTCAATTCCAGCAAGAACAGAAGCCCCACAGGCGGCATTAGCAGCACAGCTACATCAGACACAGTCACACAGTAATGCTGCATTATGCTTTTCAAACGGGGACAGAACGTGTTTCGGGCCTGAGCTTATTTTGACACAAGAGGGCAGCATTTTATTTCATATAGTCAAGTAGATCCTCAGTTGAGCGAGGTGCTGGTAAATAGCTATACAAAAAAGTTTCTCATTCATCCTGGCTACTCTCTGGATTACCTTCATTGATAAAATTACTAATGAGTCAAGCACAGACAGGGTTGATGGAGTAATTTCCTGGAAGTCATTTGTTCTGATGACTCAACAGAAGCCCTGTCTTACTCACTGTGAAACATGCAGTGAAGGTTGTGATTCACTCAGAATATATCACAGTGCTCCGAAATCAAAAGCTCCAGTCAGACACTGGAATGCAGAGTGTACATGATAGAAAAATATTAAGCTTTTTTATGACATATGGCCTGAAGATGGCAAAACGCAGAAAAGAAACACGGGAAGTCTTGCCTCTCACACTCTTGACGGTGTCGGGGGCCGAGCGAGCCAGCTTTGCGTGCCTGCAGATAATTACCTTGTGCCTACAGAGAGCAGTATCCACTGTGCGGGGAACCTTAACTGGCTTACAAGAAATGAGCTCATGGCTACCTATAGCGATAAGAGGCCTGAGAGCACGCCACCGTGTTGAAACTATTCTCTGAAATATTGCTGTACTTGCATTTAGCATTTAATAAGATGACTGTATCTTGGCAAACTGCTTTATGTTAATGACCAGGTGTCATTGGGTGTTATGTACATTTTCAGTTGTTTTTCATTAATCTAGTGTTTTCCTATATACATGATATGATGAAGTTCTGACGTATTCAATATTCTTATTAAAGTAAGTGCATAATAGATTCAATTTTAAAGCATTAACCAAGTTATATAATTTTGGGATATAGACATACAGATGTCTGCTTTCTTTGCTATTTACACTTTTTATGTATTTGTTATTGTGATCTCATCTTTTATTTAATTCATTTTATCATAATGGCTTGTCGGGGTTTGTTTTAATGAAATGTAGTAATGATATGTGGCTTAATCCGTGGTTCAGCATCTCAGGACAACATAAGACCTGCAGCCAAATGTGTGATTGCTTTTGTGAATGAAACTGACATTGTCTGCAGATTTAAATTGCATTAAAGTATAAGGTGACTTAAGTGGACACCAGAGTAGTCTTTCCATATGCAGAACTCTGGGTGTGTAGCTAAGGTTAGGGAGTGACATTCAGAGAGCAAAGTCTGTTTATTTGTCCGTGACTGATTAATCTTCTAAATGGCCGCAGCGTGCCAGCCAAAAACTAGGGTAATTACTGCCATACACATCTGATTTGTGTTGCTCCAAAAAAGGCCTTTCATGCAGAGCACAGCAGGCTTCTTATGATGTACCTGTGTGTGTGTCCATGCGCTGGAGCTCTAGAGGTAAGCCACAGCAGAGCCTTCTTCTAGGAACTGAGATCACTGTGGTAAATGATGGCGACACGTACTGTCGGAAAAAATGTGTAGATTTCCACAGCTAGATATTTGATAGGCCAGCATATGGATTTATTTGAGCCAAAGATCGACAACATTGCTTTTTATTCATTAACTTAAGAAATCAAAAAGCAGTTCCTCACACAGAGATTATAATTTGAAAAGTGGTTTAACTGCTTTCCTAAAAACATAACTCTGTGTATGAAAAGAAGCCCTCGTGTCGAGACATTTAGTCAATCTAAATCATTTCAAAATGAGAAGAGTGATGAATGTTCAATTTTCATACTATCCCATAAAACTGTCGGTTACCAAAGTGAAAATGTGGCAGAATCCATTTTGAGCAAGTGTAGATGTGTTTCTTTTAGTGGAGGGAAACTGAGAAAGCACTTGTAATTGTTCTGTCTTTAACCACTTGTATAGTGGTGGCTTGGATGCATCTTCCGATTTTGAAAGACAGCCCAATGACACAAAACACTCTAAGATGAAGGTGAGGGAAATAATGGGTGCATTTCATATGCTCCATATGAGAAGATGCATTTACATTATATTCAGCCTAAGCAAGGGAATTATCCTTGGGAAAGTACAAGTTTCCACCATCTGTAACTGCAGTTTCCCCTTGATGGGAGATCATTAGTCTTTAGCAGAACAGGAACAATATAATAACCCTGTTCCTGATCACAGCCAACATGTGAATAGGTTTGTATTTATGATTGGCATATTTCAGGTGCAGGAAAAGAGACATTGGCTTTGCTTGTGTTTTATTAAATGGAGTCTGGACTGAATCCTGCCCTGTAAAAGCTAAATTGCCGATCTCAAATGACCTATGAAGCCTTGAGGTCTTGTTCCTGGAGCATTGCGTGTCTGGAGGAAATATGATTAGTCAAATATAGCTACCCATGCACTTAGATGTATCATTTATTTAACTTAATAATAATAATGCACAGCTATAAAACTAGCTTTTCTCAACCTTGAGTTACCATGAAGATACAATTAGACCCTTCTTGCATTTTCAAGGTATGAGAACGCTAACTGGACTTTTGTTTTCCTGTTTTCTTTGGGTCAAGCCAGCCCACCTCCTAGCACCCCCACTTCTCCCTTCTCATAAATCCCCGAAATGATTTATTTCCTAGTAACTTTGCTCGTGAAATTGATGTAGACCCTGGGCCTTTGTAGCGTCTGGTTTCCCTTCTGGCGGCAGTAAAATCAGGCTGAGGTCCAGGCGCGGGGCAGTGCTTGCGTGACTGAACGCCCCCCCCCCCCCCCCCCCCCCCCCCCC